GAGGGGGGGGGCTGATCCGTGAGAGAATATTTAGCAGCGACTCAGCCAGCCGGTGAACAAGCGGGGGGGGGGGGGGGGGTAAGAGCACTCTTCTTTTTTTCCCAATTCGTAAGAATTTTTTGGGGGGTCGGGGCCGGGCCCGTCTGCTCCTCCCCCCCCCCCCGTGGATCCGCGCCTGCATACACACGTAGGCCAACACACGCACACAGGGTTAAAATGTAGCTATATTTAGTGCTTAACACATAGTCGAAAGTCAGTTATTGAGACAATATTGATACAGACTGCATAATAAGGTCGCGAGGCATTTTATTGCTATTTATTTACACTCAGTGCAAAGAAGGACATTTATGACAGATTTTAGTAGTAAGATAATGCTTAGAAATTGAAGTTAAAGGTAATGGAAAGTTTTGGAAAATTTTGAAAATTGGGTGGATAGTAATTCTTTACAATTTGGATATATTTGGATGCCCCTGTGAATGTATTATAAGCACTAGAAAATTAAGCCTCTAAAACTCCTGCTTTCGAGAAAAATTAAATATAAACATTTCAAATAGCGCCTCCGGCGGTACAAGGGTAGCTGCGACCATGAAAATCTCAGAATATATTGTTGTGATATTATAATTTCCAAACGGGAAAGCTAATCGGTCAACAGCTTAATTAAAATCTTGACCAAACAGAATTCGCCAAAAAGATGTTTAAGCGCCTTTTTTTATTTGAAATGCAAATTACTGCATGTCTGTTTTAATGTTCGTGCATGTTTGTTTCAGTGCATATTTGACGTTGATTTTTTAGAAAATCATCCGTGTTATTCAAGCAAAATTCTTTCCCTCCATATATAAATTGTTCACTGAAAGCAGGTTTTACCGTGATTAAAATAAATACAATACTTTAGATATATCGACTCCTAGAGGTCTGGCTGTTTGTAAAGGCTCAAGGGGACGTTGCATCCTACCATATGGGTGTAAAAATACATAATCACATGTATCTTTTGATACAGGGAGAACAAGGTGAATCTATATGTAACAAGGTTTCATGCAAGTACATAAGCTTTTGCTACGCTTCTAAGCGTTGTACATTGTGATTTTAATTGCAGAACGCCTACAGTTTATTTCAGATTCCCCTACCTCCCTTCCTCTTCCTGGCCTTGCGGGTGGATTCATTTAGGTTCAATTGATTAAAGTAGGAGAAAGGGAAACAATTTGTCTCGTCTAACAGATAAACCAACAAGAAAGAAAAAACGCAGGCATTTTTCGGTGGTGGTAGTTGTCTGTCAACATTGTTCCAACTCTCATTGGGTTTACTCTTTCTTCCCCAATTATTTGTAATGGGCACCCCCTCCCCACCAACATCCGTACTCCAACCAGAGCCCTTAAAAAAATGATTTCTTACCCTGAACTATATGAATCATAGTAAGCATAGACAAGTGGCGACACCTACAGGCAAGATCTGGATTCGTCCAGAATCTGCTCTGTTCTTATCATTCCCCACAAAATTGATTCAATCCGCCGAAGATGGCGTTAACAACGAACCCATAATAATGCTCACCAGCCCGCGTCTCAATTTCTGGTACTCCAGCAGCCCAGCCTGAGAACCGCCGGGCGTCCTAATTCATGATCACGCCACCTTCGGCTGGCAGCAGGTATGTATCCACAATAACTATGTATACTTGTATATTCTATTGATGTGCGTTCTCACGGTCATGTGTAACACACAGTGTAGGCTCCAGCTACATACGTCAGTATAGCACTACACATCCCCCGTCTCCCCCCTCTCCCTCTCTCTCTCTCTCTCTCTCTCTCTCTTTCTTTCTTTCTCTATGCTCCCCTATACGCCCTTATTTATTTGGGCATCACATTTCGCTAAGTCAAGCTGTGTAAAACAAATGATCACTTGCTAAAGGGGCATCAATATTTAGGACTGTGACAATATGCCACCGCCCCTCCTAAACCCGAACCCTTATTTTTTTTCTTTCTCTCAATCTCTCTTTCTTTCTTTCTCCCTCTCTCTCGACTCCCCTTGCTCCCTCTCGCTACGCACCTCCACGCCCTCCATCTGTGTATCACATTCGCTACGAAAAGTTCTACCCCTCTCTCTCTCTGTCTCTCTTCTTCTCCCACTCTCTCTTTATACGTCCCTCCATTATCCATGGGTGACCTGATATTCAAAACACAGTCATAACCTAAATTGACACAAGTAGAGTAACCATTATTGATATGTGGTCTTTACGTTCAGGTTTATAGTACCGCTAGGTTTTAATGTGAAACGTCGTTCGGTGATGAGTTATTTTCTATGCGATGTGTCATTGGAGCTGCATTTTCTGTCATTAGGTTTTTTCCAGAGCACTCTTTCCTCATCAGTTTTATGTCTGTTTTGTCCAGCCTAGACCAAATGTCTTCCTTTATAAGTTATGTTACAATTATGTACACCCTTTCTTGTGCGTAGGCGTTTGTTCCGTGTAACTATGCATGTCAGACAAATCACCATACGAATACAGAATCAAAGACCATATAAAGAACATTACAAAATAAAACTTAGCCGTCGCTCCAAACTGTTACCGACAGCTTATATATCCATGTATATACTGGTGTATTTGTTTCGTCTTTAATGCCACTAAAAACAATGTACAGAAAAAATGAAAGAGGGGTTTATTTTTATTGTTAAGGACACACCAAAATTGTTCCGTCCTTATAGGCAGTTTTTTCTTGTTATACAGGTGTTCCTTGAAACAGGGTTCACTGTATTAAGGAAAATGTTCAGAATAAACTTTTGTACCACTTTTGAACGCCAATTTCCCTTCCCGTCGCTCCAAAGGGGAATTTCAATAACCTAATTGTATGTCCCATAGAAATCATGTTTAGAATAAGTAATGCATGGTTGTCATCTTCGCACGTTTCAATAGGTGACGCACAAGACTATTGAAATTGACTTCTGGTTGATTTATTGAAAATAGTTGCTATTGTGTTGAAATATTTAATGTAGTGTCTGAAGGGAAAAGGCGCAAAGGAGAAAAACGAAACTGAACGATATGTTGTACTCAGCAAACGGGAAAGGTGTCCATGACTATGTCACAGTCCACTTACCAAATTGCCGATTTAAATTTGGCTTAGATTAAGCGATCACATTTTTTCAACAGTCATAGCTTTCTTCCCATTCGTCCGATTTATTCAAACTTCCGCTATTCTGTGTGCGTTATTTGTTCTGCATTCATACCAAAAAAAAAAGATTATACCAAGGGTGCATGACTCTTCAATGATTACCAGATAAGTTGTTTTGCATTCCGAATCCTCAATTCTACCGAGAATCGAGAGTCAAAAAATCGGTTGAACTGACTCCCCATTCGTAACAACCAATTAGGGATAAAAGGACACGATACAATTGGACAAGGAAGTAAACAAATGAAGAGGAAATTGATACGTTTAATTAAGAGAAAAGTACAAAAAGCTAAACATTGTATTGACCATAGAAAATCCGAGTAAATGTAATCCAACACCCACACTCAACCTTTACTATTACAAGAGAACGTGGAATTATCTATTTATGGTTAATACTGGACTTAAAAACAATACAGTTGAATGAATCCTTGAAAAGAGATCCATGCTTTCAATGGTCATTAACCGACAAATGTTCATTTGACAAAGATTGATTTTTCCTTAGCACTACACATCAATTTATCTTACTTAAACGTATGTTGAGACCCGGAAAGACGTTATCTCATATTACTGTTTATGCCCAGCACTACATGATTCTCCTGCAACCCGGTTTACATAGCCAAGGGCGGTTGTATTAGATATGAAAATCTGAAAAAAATATCTTCCTGAATTAGGTTCTAAACGACAATAATAATATTAAAAACCGAAATTTCAGTGCACTTTCCCCTCCATTAAGGAAGCATGGAATCTCTTGAAATTTACATTTCATTAAATTATATTCCTATTCAGATCCGCGGTCAATAAGATTTTAAATGTTTGAATGTTCATATAAACATTATACCACAATTGTTTTCATAAATCGGATCTTAGTCGTATCGTGTAGTGTGTAGCTGTCATTAGATAGACCGAAAACATGATGAAAACAATATAGCACCCAGTGCATTTTTTCATCTATTTTAAATGACTAAGATTAAACACAAATATTGTGGACTTATAGTAGAACTATATGTCTACCTCGTATTTTTACTCTATAGTTATGAAATAAAAGGAGTCCATATTTAACACAATTTAAGAAACAAAAGAAAATATATATTATTAATTAGTTTAAACTCTCTGGTGCTTCAAGGATACGAATTGGGTTTTTCTAGATGTTATCACAAAAAAGACGTTTATAATAATCCAAATTTTGATTATGCTTTTTCTTTGAGGTAAATAATTATGTTATTTTGACAATTTTTTTTAAATTTTAGCGAGGACGTACATTTTTTTTTGTTCAATTAGCTCAAAATCATATTTTAGAATTGTTGAATAAAATTATCATTTTTTAAACGATGCACAATTGCAAGTACCTCCTTGGAATCAACTCAAGAGCAACATTATTTAATCACATTTCCTTACATCTCCCATCGTTGAATTACTATATTTCTTTTCCAGAAATTATCAAGAGAATCTATGCCAACGTTTTGGGGCTCGACTTCCCCTTTAAGTGAAAGAAGAAAAGTGAAGGCACTTTAGGAATGTCAATTATTAAAGACTAAATAGTATGCAGATGTATACAATTAATTTTCTAAGAGTATGGGTGGTATTCTCATAAGTTAAGCCGGGACTAAGTCCAGACTAAGCAACAATTTTAGTTCACACTTCTATGGAATGCTAGGTTTCATCTTCCTCCTTCAATATTCATGACAAAGATAATCTACCAAAGACTTTGTTGAAATTCAGTTCATACTCATATGATCTTTTTCTTCCCATTTCATTGCAAAATTATTTTTTTGGACACTTTTCATTGAAGGATTAAAATAATCTGTTCAGGGTAGATTAGTTCACAACAGGCACTCCATAAAAGTGTGAACTAACTAAGCACGTGCTAACTTAGTACGCGCTACCGGAATACCACCCATTGACATTATTTACTAGCACTTATTCTGCATATTAAGAGTATAACTAATCTACTGCTATACATTTTTTATTTCATTTTTAATGACTTTCTTCTAGGTGAACTTTCAGCCTCAGCCTTAACATAAAACAAAGCGGAACAAAGTGAAAAGGAATAGAAACCGAATAAGAGATAAATGCTATGCATAAAAAAAAATGTCATAAAACACACGATTATAAAAAGTTCACGATCGCAAAGACTTAAAAGAAATTATCTCAAAAGCATTATTTAGTAATATAAGACGGGTTCTAGAATGTAAGCAATCTGATTCGTTAATTTACGTCACGTGGACGTGTATTAGTTCTTCCCATCGTGCAGAACATCTCCCATCAAAAATTGATAAAACACGCTTTCGCGTAATTTAGGCAAATTTAATCCAGATCTAGATCTAGAACATTCTATACCAAGATCTAGTAAAATCTAAATATAATATCTATCTATACCCTAGATCTATACTATATTGTTAGAAAGTATTGCCGACCTGTCTTATAAAACAAATAATGCACTGTTTCGCTCGTGTGTTAGCGCAGTTACAGTTCACTCAGTTTAGTCAGTGCGTTTTCACCTAATTGCACTGACTAAACTTCGTGCACTGGCTTTGCGGTGCGCTAACACACTCGCAACAGTGCATTATTTGTATACCAGTACATGCTAAATGCTAAATGATAAGGCTATTTACATTGCTTTTGTAAACTTTCTCATAAGTCTTTATGATCGTCTAAAACACACTTTTGAGAGAAAGACCGAGAATTTGTATCTTTTCACCACACTTCTGCGTATACAGTGCATACATATTGCTCTGTATATTTTTCCTATGACCCCGGTCACGTGATGTATACTCTGCAGCCTATTGTCTGGCGAGGATGAAGGCGGCCAGCATGGCCACGCCCATAGCAACGAAGCTGGTTGTCACGGTAGTGCCTCCATTGCAGAGGTTGGTGTTGCAGCAGTAGGTACAGACACCGAATAGACAACCCTCAATACAGACATGCTCACATGAACGTCTTACTGTTGATCCAGAAACTATTTTCTAAATGATAACAATTATAAAAAAAAAAACAGTAGTAGTGATGGATGTAGTGATATAATGCGGAGAAGGAAAATAAAGTAATGATACTTTTACCGCTCCTACTACTACTACTACTACTACTACTACTACTACTGCTTATAATTATAATACTACTGATAATGATAGCTATAATAAGAATATTATAATAGTTATGTTAACTAATAGATTAATCACACTAATGATAAACATAACACAAGTAATAAAACTATTCCTTTTTTCATGAATTTTATCCGTATTTAGGAAAATAATATTGATTATAATATGATAATGAATTGAAATATGGTATAATCAAAATGCTAAATTTGGTTTATATTATTGCATTGTTTCACAATTTGTATAATAATAATAACAAATGGTGCTTTTATATATAATTTTTCTTTTACCTTTTGCACTAGTAAAACGTGAGCAATTAATTTCAAATTAATCTCCTGTTTTATAAGTTATAATATAAGTTATAAGTTATAATAATATCTAATGATTATCATTGTAATGATTATAATAATACTACTAATAATAAATAACATAAGAAATATTAACGATGACAAAAATGAGGAAAATAATATTGATAATTACAATAATTAAAATAACCAAAAAAGTTGCCATGAAAATTTGAACAAAACATCTGTGCTTCTTCTAAGTCATATTTCGAGTATAGGAGCATTTGAAGATTATTCCTGTTTTAGGGGGCATCTTCTTCAAAGATATTCCTCAACAGTACCATCGCAAAAAATGAAAAAGCTCACGAGTTATATTTCACCTTTACTAGAATACACCCTTCTCCTTCTGGGAGACATTATTCCCGAGATGTTTTCAGTAAATTATTACTCCAAATGAACCAGGAAGCGAAAAATATAAGGAAATAGAGCAAATGATTATCGCCTGGTGTAGGTGAAAGTATAAATCCTTTTTGTGAATGAAGAAAGACAAGAATAAGGAATGGCATTTAATGATGATATTAAAAACGATATCCTTCTTGAAGGATATTTACCGGGGTACATTCCTTTTTCATGAGATTAAACAAATGCAAGTAGATGTCTTACCGAACAATAGCTGATCGGAATAAAAGAATTGGGACAGCTGTTCGATGCGCCTGAAATTAACGGGATGAAAGGATCATTACAAGCCCCGCCTTGACACGAGTAGCAATCAATGGCCCAGGTACCTGTGTTATCAATGAGAATGAAAATATTATACACTACAAAACAGGTTCTAGAAAGTAGGCATTATAATAGGTTAAATGAAAACCTACCAGTCCCCTACCGTTCCAAGACGTTCCCATCAAAAGGTGATAACCTACGGCTAGAAGCGAAGATGCGTGGCTAAGATGCGCGTATATTAGGGACTTTTAGAATGAGTGTACGAGAACACGACGAACGCCGACTGATCATGCGTGTCAACGTACTAATAACTGCCCATGTTTACTATAATTAGAAATCTTTTAGATTGCACTCGACGATATACATGCATGCAGGAAGTAACATTATGAACATCACGGACAAAGAAAGACGACAAAAGATACAGTTCCTCATTCTACCCTCAACAAAAGAGACGTCGTAACGCATGTGCAGTGCCTTAAAAGGACGTCACACGTTGCAGTCAAAGCTGTCAACGTGCAAATCTAAAAGTCCCTATTGATATCTCTGGCGCATACAAAATTAAGACGAGATGAAGTGCAAGAGGTTAAAAATGGCATGCAAAGACCTTCAGAGCGTCGACCGACCGATTTTTAGCCTGCTCGATCGCCGCTGGAATTTAGGCATCGCACAACGATTTTTGGAGAAGTCAAGCAGGCTGTAGAGCCCCAGCTATGCCTGGGCGAAATCGCGAAGCTTTTCCGCGCAGTGTTCCAGCAGTGACCGACCGGTGACCCACCGATTCCCGAGCAGTCTCCCACCGGCCGCCGGCTGATGTTAAAGATATTGCACGGCGGCCGGCCAGTGATCAGCGGGGCTCCAAAATACGCTCGGAGCCTAGCCGTTCGCCGTCCGGGCACCGAACTAATCGAGCGTTCGCCGCCGAGCAATTTATGGAGCTCTCACACTCTGCCGTGTAGGCCTACCGTCCACCTGCCTGGCTATTAAAAGAACAACAGAGTCCAGAACGTTGGGTTTTGAGCGAACTTGTCCCCGGCCGCAAAAAAAAAGTCATAAAATTAATCTTTTCACCGTTTCGTTGCCATCTTCTGACCGTTCTCACCGGGCGCATACCGGGTGTTGAACGTGCTTCTACCGTCTTCACCGCCCAGATTGACTTTTGTTGAAAATTTTGGCCGTTTCCATACCGGGCCCATACCGGGTCTCGAACGTGTGCACCGGGTTTGTAGCAGCCACCTACCAGTCACTTAGCGTCCCCTCACCGCTCGCAGCGTCCTGTGAGCGAGTCCCCGGACTGCTGACGTCATGACACGACTGCCATAAATACCCCGATTTGAACGGCAACGGTCAGTCCGCTCTCCATTTTTCATCACCGTTCTGTAACGGGTTATGAGCGTGTTGTGAACGTGTTCATACAGTGTGACCGTTTTCATAACGTATTCATACCGTCCTCATACCGTTTAACACCGTCCTCTTGCCGCTTACTTGCGGCCGGTGCCAGCCGGACAAAGTTTTGAACATGCCCAAAACTTTCGCCGGGTCCCACCGGGTGTAAATAAGCGCCAACGCCCTATTAACGTGTTGCCCGCTTTGATAACGAACCACCGTGTGCCCTCGCCGTTCTCCACCGTCCGCAGACATTTTCGCGCACGGTGGCACACGGTAGGCCTACACGGCAGAGTGTGAGAGTCACTTTAGGTTAAAAAAAAATCGAAGCCGCTAGGTCAAAGGCTGCCGAACGATTTTGACCTCGCCGCCCTGGACCGACTGATCTACCAGCAGCGACCGGGCGGCGAACGCTCGACAGCCTATGACCTTGCGGCTTCGTTTTTTGACCTAATGCTATGGTCACATTACCCAAAAGTAGCCTGCTCGGCGGCCGAGCGGCGAGTTTTTAATCAATTCTGCCAGGCGGCTGCCCGGCCACCGAGCGGCGGCCGCCCATGCACCGCTCATTTTTAGGGCATCGCTCGGTCGCCGCTGAAGTTTTAGCGCGGAGTTAAAATTTGGGCGGCGCCTACTCACTTTTCACTCGCCGCCCGAAATACGCTCGGTGCCTGGGCGGTCGCCGCCCGGGCACCGACCTAATCGCTGGGCGATGCCTAATTCCAGCAGCGACCGAGCAGGCTACTGATCGGTCGGTCGCTGCTCTGATTTGTGACTTTAGCTTAACTTGCTCAACGGCGAATGTTCGATTAGGTCGGTGCCCGGGCGGCGACCATCCGGGCACCGAGCGTATTTTGAGCGGCGAGTGAAAAGTGAGCAGGCGCAGCCCGAATTTTAAATCCACACTAAAACTCCAGCAGCGATCGCGCGATGCCCTAAAATCAAGCGGGGCCCGGGCGGCCGCCGCTCGGTACCCGGGCAAAATTTGTTTTAAAAAATCGTCGCCCGGCCGGGTAATTTGTTGGGTTGTGACCATAGCTTAGTTTAGGCACATATAACTAGCTCATACACCATTTTGAACCCCCACACCCCATTACCAAAAAACATCGGTGTTTGTTCATACCGATTTTTTTTTTCATGAGAAGGGCGCATTTCTCGCCAACGGATGTTGGTCTCGGCCGGGATTCGAACCCTAAACCAAATGCTTCACAGTTCGTTTGCGTATCCACTATAAGATGCGTTTAAACGTACCATATCATTTGATACACTATACTCCTCACTCGTAAACAACTATTTTCGAAGGAAAGGGAAGCCAAAATACCCTTTCCACTGATTTATGATATCGTTTGCCAGATGATTGTATTTTATAATTTCCGCAAAATGTATCCGTTTAGAGCCAGCAAATGTGACTGACATAAACAAATATTTATAAGGCTAACGGATAAGGTGATTAAGGGAAAGGATCATATATAGTGAATATGGGAAGAGAAGAAGGAATGGAGGGAACGGATTAAGTGAATAAGGGATTGGCATAAGTAATAAAGGTAAAACTGTAAAAGTTAATAAGGACTGAGGGAATTAGCAAAGGGATTAAATGAATACGAAAACGGATGATAAGGGCAGTGATTGAGAAAAGGGATACAGCGAAGTAGGGATGGATTAATTGAGTAAGCAAAGGTATTAACTGAATAAGGATAAAGACATAAACGAAATAAGGAAATGAATTTCGTTAATGAGGGCAGTATTTGAGGGAAAGGATTACGTGAATAAGGGACAGATATCAAATTGAAAAAAGGAGCTGGTTAACTTAATAAAAGCAGTGATTAGGTAAATTAAGGGGGTGCATAAGCGAATACGTCAATAACGGTAGACATCATTTGAATAACGAAAGGCATACATTTAATTAAACGGGCCTTACCTACGACCATTGAGATGAAAAGAGCAGGAACAAAAAAAGACTTCATGACTAACTCGTCTGCCTGAACGAATTCTAAAAGATAACACAAAAAGAAATGAAAAATATTCTATGATGAATACCTAATTTTATTTATTATATCAATTATTTCTTACTAAGACGTACCAAGGGTAGCTTCATTTATCAATATGTCCATTTATATAGAGCATGGATACAACAGGGCAATATTTACAATTAAATTTAAATTATATTTTCATGAATATTTATTTCCTTCACAAAATTCCCTAAAAGCACATGAATTGAAAAGGAAAAGGGCGAAACAAATATGAATACAACTAGTACATTCTTCTTTTTTGTTTTCACATTTTATTTAATACAGTTCTAACTAAATGATATATAATTATCCAAAATTGAATTATTTGTTATATTATTCAATTGTTCCAAGCTGTTTGGAAGTTTAGTGAAAAGTATTCATCTAAGCAGGTACTGGCATAGTACTATTTTTTTCCGAGGGGCGAAGCCTCGAGGAATTGCCTGCCAGTCCCTCCAAAGATATTTATTTTCCGCTATACTTTCGAACTAAATGCTCGGTATATTTGTTTTATAACCCTTCTTTATTACAGGTGGCAAGGTTATGAAGAGTCCATGCAGGGACTCGCTCAGCGGGTTGTCTACGCTTTAGAATTTGACACAAATTTTTGTCAATGAAGAGTGAGCAAACGCAGTAGTGCCTCCAAATACCCCCAAAGGAATCCGTGTACAATTATTGTGCAACGGTTTATTGATGGTACCAAGCTCACAAATTTAAGGATTGAATCTGGTGTCGCCGAAGCCACTGGCCCGTCTCCGTGCAATGGGGATCTTTATTTTAAGCTACACAACCGTAATTGTATCGTGTCCTCTCGCATATATGTAATTATGTATAAATAAATATAGTTGTAAACGCATCATTGGACGGACATTTGGAGTCATAGAGTCAGTCATTAAAGTAGACATTGTCATTATGAGGACAATCTCGTGTCCTCTTGACGTGTGCACGTTTTATTTCTCATAGAAGGCCTATTTTTTAAATATATTTCTGTCTCTATATAGGCCTATATAATTTTACTTAAGGCGTCATTAGAGACGGACTATTGAAGTGAAAAAGGTGAATCATTAGGTAGTCTTTGTCATTAGGAAGACAATAATTATATAGACAAGTTTTATGGTTAGTGTTAGGGTTAGGGTTAGGGGTTAGGGTTGGAACCTGTAACTTACAAGCATAGCTTTTACCATAGGCCTCTCAATGTTTCACTCTTCTTTTGGGGTTTAATGTTTTAATTTATGCATTCAAACAAACTTATATCAGGTACTCTCTTTCTATTTTGTATATGTTTGTTAAAAGAATTCACTTTTATTTGTTCCATTTACTTTGCGAAATCATTGCAAAGTGCTTAAGATATGTTAAATATGAAATAATAAACCGAAATTGAAACTGAAACGTTCTACACCAGCTTCACACGAAATTTATTAAATGTTGCCATGGTAGATTGATTATTGAATAAAATGGCTGTTCATCGCATTGAATCAACTTATTTCGCTTCAGTAGCGATGATTAATCATTTGCATCATCTGAGCAACATTCACGGATCCATGGTTAACACAAATTCGCAGACATCCTAAATAAAACGCGCGTCGTAAGTGAAGTACGCATAACCAGCCCTTCCACATACGCTTGTCAATTTTAATACATGCGTTCAGTGAAATATCGGCGACTTCGCACTAACGACGTTTTCGTGAAACAAGGCCCTGGTTTTCCCCAGTCACACAATCTATTTTGCAACTCTCCCCTGGAATCGGAATAAACCATGCATTATTTATGTATTCAATTTTCATCTCCACTCCCACATGTACCGCTCTTTTGTTCTCGTTCGGTCCATGTATCCCCACTGGAATGGTTTTGTTCAAAATTCATTTCTACAAAAAAGTCCTTCATCTTTCTTTTTGTTTCTTTTTATTTTTATAGGGAGAGAAAAATAAGCTGTGATTGTATATTCTATTAAAGAGACAAAGAGTCACTACATTTTAAAAGAGGGCGTATTGATCATAACGGGCTGTAACTCCTGACGGGTGGCGGAAGAACAACTGATGACCTCCCATATGATGCATGAAACGACTACTACCATTGTCTCCGTTTTCATTAAATTATAATGTATTCATACTTCATATCAAACAGGTGGGAATCCCCACACACCCTGTCTACACTGCCGGATCTACCTACCCTTCTCCTCTGTGTATGTGTATCTGTTTATCTGCATTTATATGTTCCATGAGAGGGTACTATTCGTCTAATGTATCATCTCGTTTAAAGGTACTATGTCCCTTTTGCAGCCAACCTCGAATTCTGTAGAACTTTGCAAGAATTATGAATATGTCATGTATGTCCTAACTGTGAAATTTAAAGGTTAGCAGTGTCCTCATATTCAAATTATGCAAGGAAACCTGTTTACTTGCTAGACTTCACTGTCAGACACTATTGAGTGACTGACTGGCATTTTTTCTTCTTTGGTAATAACATACATGAAAAGAGTTGTAAAGGGTACATGAGCATTTGTCTATATCAATAACCCACTTCTTGTGATGGCCAAGATTAAACTGATTGAATCTTTGCGCAGCATAAAACGTATGACCATTCGGTACAATTATCTGAAAATCAAAACTATTACTTTTGGGCTCTATAGCCCTAAAGTCGATTTGACAACTAATAATCGTTATTTTCCCACTTGAAGACATTTTTTTTGGCCTGCAAATGGGACATAGTACCTTTAAGGCGTGGTGTTAAAAGCGCGCCATATCAAGTAGCTGAATCAGCAGTAATGAAAATTACTACTTTCCTTGTGTAAAAGCAGAACATTAGGTAATTAAAGCATATTTAAATATTTTGACTGAACGTTTGTGCGAACTCATAAATCCTTTTGTTATCATTCACTAATAAGGAAGTTATGATTTGTTTGTTAAGTATGAACAACTATGAAACTTTGAAAATCACTACACAAAGTGGAAATTGAGTTATCAGTTTATGACGTCATTGCCTCACTATTTACCAATTGCTTTATAATTATATTTGTATCCCATTAATGTATGAATGAATGAATGAGTGAGTGAATGAATGAATGAATGAGTGAATGAATGACTAAATAAATAATTGAAATACTTAATGACTGAATAAATAAATAGATGAATGAATGAATAGCTTACTGAATGAATATATGAATGACAGAACAAAGAAAGAAACAAATTTTTAATGAATGAATAAATGAATAAATAAATAAGTAAATAAATGAATCAATTAAAAGGCATTCTACTTCATTTCTACTATGATATTCCTTCCATATGAAATGCATTGATTGAGAAAGCCTACGAGTTGATTTCCATCCTGAAAATAGTCTGGGAGGTTGATGATATTTTACAACATGGCCTTCGGATTTAATATACAATACCACTAAGATACCAGTATTTGTACTGTTACAAGCTATAGCATATAAAACTGTCATACGTCTTTTCACCATGACACATATTCCTATAACACAGATATTAATATAATAGTGTATCCTCACCCAACTTTAATGGAGCCCTGATATTTGTATTCCGGAAACGGAGACTTACTTGAAACTACCTCTAAAAGAAGCCGTGTACAAGTATCATGCAACGGTTTATTGATGATATCACGCTCACAAATTTTTGTGAATACTTTCTTCCTTAATCAAGCGAAGAACAAGCTGATTGCATACAGTATCAATAATAGAAATTAAGTATATGAGAGATGCAAGCGTGTTTCCATGGACGCGCGGATGCGCCCTAGATTGGATTATAGTTTTTCCATCGAGCACCGGCGCATCTATTAATACAGGCAGTGTATGACTGCACTCTAATCGATACATTTAGTACGTAGATGTGGTAAACAACTGATACCTTAATAACCGTGCAATTGTATGTTGATGTCAGTAATGTCAGTGGTTTCACAAACTATATACTATATATATATATATATATATATGTACTCACGTACACTTACACACACAGGCACACGCACGCACACAAACATATATATATATATATAAATCGGGAAAATTCTCCGTCACGGTAATATAGAAATAAAAATTAAAACAGTTGACATAAAAAATATCCCGGAGAGTGTTAAATTCACTATTACCGGTTTTATTTTCTTTCGTCAGATAGTGCATTCAAGATTCCTTAATGATTCGTACTATAGTAATAGTGAACTGAACTCACTAGGATATTTATTTCAACGGTTTTAATGATATATATATATATATATATATATATATTAGTAGAAATATGTACGCCTTCATACGCATACACACGCAAACAAACACACACAGGCACTGGCACATGCATACTCGTTTACATGAGACACAATCGCAAATATATATTCTAAATGAACCCAAGAAAATAACAACTGACTCGTGCTTTCTCTTTCGAAATGTTCAAATATTACATTTGCCTACCAATCCGAACCAGATTTCACTGAGCAAGATTATGGCATTGAAATTGGTCTAAGCTGATTGTTTAAATGTAATTGGGTCCATTTTTCAAAATATACACTGTTTATGTTGAGCTAGATGTTTAACAAACAAACAAAGAACAATTATAATGTATCGAACTGAGCTTAGTATTCATTTAGATCAGGACTTACCAATGAAAATCGAGTTGAATGTGTGGAGATCCGACTTGGATTGAAATTCCTGCCAAAAAGACCTGTTTATCACTGGGGCATCAATCTCACTAATGAAGTGAAAATGGAGATGCATATCATAAATACGCGCACACAAACACGCGCGCACATATAATCTTTAATCGAGTGTGTACGAATACGTGCGGCCAACCCGCGGTCGAGCTCTTTGGTGCGGTCCGCGGATCATTGAAAAAGTAATTATAAAAATAGCTCATAAATGAAATGCGTCCCCCCTAGCAGCGATGAAAAAGGGTAAAAACATTTACCCACAGCTATCACTATTTCCATAATTTGTTTTCATCATTCACAACATAGTGCCTCATTACGTGGTTGATAACAAAA